GGGGGAGCCGCGGCATGGCTTGCTCCCACTCGATCCCATCCTTACCCTCCCCAACTCTCTCTCTCTACCCTAAGCCTCTCTCCCGAAATCACATCGTTCGACAAAAACCAAGGCCTCCCTCCAAATCCCACCACCAAAAACCTCGACCCTGCAACCGAAATCGAAGATGTTCCTTCTCGGATCTTCACATTTGAATCCAAATTCACCAACAAATGCAAGTTCGAAACACCATTCTAGGGTTAACAGATCCGGAAAGAAAAAAGAACAAGAAACAGGGGCTTAAAAAAATGGAAACCCGGATTTAAGAGAGGACAATGAGGAATGCAAGCCAGGGTTTTGATTAAAGAAGGAAAATGCTTGGAGCAAAAGAAACCATTTTTATTAGGTAATCGGAGCTATCGAAGAAGAAGACGAAGCACCCACAAGAGAGAGAGGGAGAGAGAGAGGGAGAAACTTTTACGGGAAACAGTGGCGATGTTCGAACGCGGAGGGAAACAAGAAACCAAAATTGATTGGGCTTAAAATCAAATTCGAGTTATGGGGGATTTGACAGATCTTCATCTCCCCAACTTTGTCCTGTCACCGTAATGAATTCCTTCTTCGGAATGAACAAATCCCCCTAAATCGGGAATAGAAAATAGTAAGGGGTCAAACGTAAACAACAATGAAATAATGGACTTTATATAATTTACAATAGTTATAGGCGTCTTTTTGCAATTTCTTGAAATTACAAGAATCTCCAATTTCTGAGAACACACAAGGGGAACAGAAACAGTAGGGGCGAAAAATGCACACGCTGAACAACACCACCACCGACTCGCAAGATCCGAATTTTGACCCGGACCAGGTTTCCTACCGGACCCAGCAGCAGCAGCCCCTGTCTCAGCCTCGGCGCCCGCGTGGGTTCGCTGCTGCGGCGGCGGCGAGGGGGCGCCGCGGGGAGCGACAACGGCGACAGTGGCTCCATCCGCGGCGGCGGAGGCAGCGGAGGAGGAGGAGCGAAGGGGAAGAGGGAGAGGGAGAAGGAGAAGGAGAGGACGAAGCTGAGAGAACGTCACCGTCGAGCGATCACCAGTAGAATGCTCGCCGGACTGAGACAGTACGGTAACTTTCCGCTTCCGGCGCGTGCGGACATGAACGACGTAATCGCCGCCCTGGCTCGTGAAGCTGGTTGGACCGTGGAGACTGACGGCACCACTTACCGGCAATCTCCTCCAACGAACCCAGTGGTTCGTAAATTGCACTTGCTAACCTAATCTTATAGGCTTATGATTTGTTTATGTGAAAAATTTGGGAAGTGGAAAAGTTCTTACCTTTCAGCAACCATTGCATTAGTAGAACCTCTGAGCAAAATTGTTTCTTTATTTGCAAAAGATTATCGGATTTGATCCAGTGGATTTGGGTACTATCCTGCATCTTCAGTATAGGTTTATCTTCGTCAGCTTAGAAGTTGGATATGAAGTTGTTTTTTTGGAGCTGTTGGGGACAAAAAAAAAAAGAGAGAGAGAGAGAGACGTGAAATACCCTCAATTGCCTATCGTGTCATGGACAGGTGCATTTTCAGGCAAGATCTGTTGAAAGTCCACTTTCTTCAAACACCTTGAAGAGCTGCTCTGTTAAGGCTGCATTAGACTGTCAGCAATCAGTTCTTAGAATCGATGAGAACCTTTCTCCAGTGTCTCTTGATTCTGTAGTTATCGCAGAGAGTGATGCAGGCAATGAAAGATACACAAGTGCCAGCCCCATCAACTCAGTTGGAGGCTTGGAAGCCGATCAGGTAGCTATATGATGATACTGGTAGCTGTTGTTTAGTTAAATTCGTCGTCTGTTCTGGGAAAGTTGACTTGGACCTGAATTTTTGTCAGGAAAGTTGCATTGTCAACCTTTCAGCTTTAAGATATCTGCCAAGTTTAAGAAGTTTGTGAACTGGTACCCTTTTCCATGCTCATCAAGCACATTTTAGGGTCAAAGGGAAACAACGTTTTTTGCTCTTAGCTCTAACATAATATCTTAAGAAGACGAGGAATGAATAAATTAGATAATTTCAGTTTTGGTGCTTTTGCCGTGGGTTATGATGAGGGAAAGTCTTACAGCTTTGTTGTTCTTTCAGCTTATACAGGATGTTCGTTCGGCACAACATCAGAATGCCTTTACCGGGAATTGTTACGTCCCTGTTTATACAATGCTTCCGGTAAGCATTTAATGATGTAGATAGAATTGCGTTGTTTATAATGCATTTCATTCTTTACCACTTCTCTCTTTTTTTTTCTTTTCGTAATGCTTGTTTCTACCATTCTTAGATCATCTTTTCTTTGTAAGACGGATTTCTAATTATTTCGGTGCTGGACAAAATCCTGAACTTTGTCGTGTAGTCCGAAATCAGGTGCGATGAAACCAAAAATATGGATTGGGTTCGGGTTTTTTGAACTACGATGGATTACCCCAAAATACCCGAGAATAAAATGATGTTTACATCTTTAATATTTTAATCTATTTATAATAATATCTAAATATACTTTCAACTAAAATTACCAAAATATTTCTGAAATCAACAAAAATCGATTATTTTTCTAGTTTTTGACGGGCTTAGATATCTTCGGATAATTGAGTTCATCGTCAAGTCCTGAGCTGCGGGTTCCCGGAATTCACGAAATGAAACCGATATAATACTTTCTTAAAATCCGTAAAGATGAAGACGAAGACTGTAGGCTGGTATCATCAACAATTTCTGCCAGTTGGTAGACCCTGAAGCTGTAAGACAGGAATTAAGTTACATGAAGTCATTAAATGTTGATGGAGTGGTAATAGAATGTTGGTGGGGCATAGTGGAAGGATGGAATCCCAAGAAGTATGTTTGGTCTGGCTATAGAGAGCTCTTCAACATCGTCAGAGACTTCAAACTTAAACTACAGGTATGTGTTCTAACCTATGAATTACAGCTCTCATGGCCTCACCATATATGATGAAACTAGTAATGTCACAATAAGCCTTTTGTCTGACTGTCATAATATTTTGCAAGAACTGATCTTAGTGAAAAGAGGAAGATATATTGGTACCGCTCATTTAAAAAATTAGTTAATTCATGCAGTGTTTATGCTCATTTATCTTTTTTAAAAGGATGATAGAACTTCATTGTTTTAGCTTCAATGTGTCTACTCTAAGTATCTCCGAAAGTCTTACTCATTTTACTTCTCTCCTCATCCCAGAAAAGATGAAGGTTTCTCTTAGATGATTTATGGCGTCTGACATTTGGTTTATTTGAAGGTGGTGATGGCATTTCATGAGTATGGAGGGAACCCATCGAGTAATGCGATTATTTCTTTACCACAATGGGTTTTGGAGATTGCAAAAGATAATCCAGACATATTCTTCACTGATCGTGAAGGAAGGAGGAACACGGAATGTTTGAATTGGAGCATCGACAAGGAACGAGTGTTACATGGACGAACTGGCATAGAGGTGTTAAAGAATGTGTTTTTAAACAATTTGGTGTATAAAGCATTCATTTCCTTTGTCAAGTATTCTGTAGTGCCTCATTATCAATCTTGATTTCAGGTTTATTTTGATGTCATGAGAAGCTTCCGAACAGAATTCGATGACTTATTTGCAGAGGGACTGATATCTGCGGTTGAGATTGGTCTTGGAGCTTCTGGGGAGTTGAAGTATCCATCTTTCTCCGAAAGGATGGGTTGGAGTTACCCTGGTATCGGTGAATTTCAGGTATTTGTTATGAAATCAAGATTGCTGAACTTCCTTGTTGGATCTATCTGTGAACAATTTGACACACTAAGGTCATAGGATCATTCTCGTTTAGCATACTGTTATTTAATACTCTACTGCTTGCTATATTCTTTTATACATGTCGTTCTCTTGAATGCCAAACGTGTAGTGAAATTGATCATGCTTGACTTCCAATCTTACATCATCTTGCCTTGCAGTGCTATGACAAATATTCGCAGAAGAATCTACAAAAGGCCGCCAAGTCGCGAGAATACTCTTTCTGGGCAAAGGGTCCTGAAAATGCTGGCCACTATAATTCTAGACCTCATGAAACTGGTTTTTTTTGTGATAGAGGTGACTACGATAGCTACTACGGTCGTTTCTTCTTAAATTGGTATTCGCAGTTGCTAATAGAGCATGCTGAGAATGTTTTGTCCCTCGCAAGCCTTGCATTTGACGAGACAAAGATTATCGTCAAGGTATGTATACATCCTGACTAGAAATTAAAACCCGTTTCCACTTCCATGCTCAGATCATGAGTCTGGAACCTTGGTGAAATTTTCCTTTCCCTGCTGTTTAACAAAGCGATGAAGGTTTCTGAGTTAATATAATTTCGACTATTATTTGTGATACAGAAGAAATTAACAGACAAAAAAACTTTTCGGTAATCCAGGTTCCAGCGATTTACTGGTGGTACAAGACTGCTAGTCATGCTGCAGAACTAACAGCAGGATACTACAACCCTACAAACCGTGATGGGTACTCTCCTGTTTTCGAAGCTCTGAAGAAACACTCAGTGACAGTGAAGTTTGTCTGCTCTGGGTTGCAGATGCTTACCACTGAACATGACAAAGCATTAGCCGATCCAGAAGGTTTGAGTTGGCAGGTAAAATGCCCCTTTCTATGTCCCAAATGCCCATATCACTTATGAACTGTGTTCTTCTTGTCTCCTCCATGGCAGTCTACTGTTAAGTATTCTGTTCTGGTCTGTCATGTGGATTGGATGAATGCTCCTTTTTTTTTGTGAAAGCTCCAATGGTAATGCTATTTCACGGTGGCAGGTTCTGAATGCGGCGTGGGATGGGGGAATGTCCATAGCGGGTGAAAATGCAGTTTCATGTTTCGACAGAGAAGGGTGCATGAGAATAGTTGAGATGGCCAAACCCAGAAACCATCCAGAGAATCGCCATTTCTCGTTCTTTGTTTATCACCAACCATCTCCTTTGGTGCAAGGATCTACTTGCTTTGCAGATCTGGACTATTTCATAAAATGCATGCACGGTGAGCGAGCGCTCTCAATTTCAGCTTACAAAGGATAAGCAGCTTATATCTCCTCTCAATTTCATCATTACATGCTTACATATATGCACTGTACGTTAAACCCGCATGGAAGAAAGAAACTGAGGTTCATGTCATAAACCCCTTGTTGGCAGGAGACATACAAAGGTGAGATGGGGGGGATGTTTCCATGTTAGAACGCAGACAGACAGAGCTCTTCTCAAGTGTTGTAGGATTTGCCGTAAGCCTTTTGCTTGAAGAAACTCTTCCTGAACCGTCTGCTGTTACTTTAGACAGCCAGATTGGGTTTGAAGTCTCCTATTTTCGTCTGTTCAGATTTCGATGTAAAGCCCTTAGTTTGCATCAATGGCGTCTGACAGAAGAGCAAAGGAAGAGTCTGAACTTATGTTTGTGTAGCAGCTAGTTGCCTTAAATTATGATGAACATGCTTTTTGCATCATATTATATGCAACTTTTACTACAGTTTGGTCTGAAAGTCGTCTCGCGGCATCATCTCAAGGCTGTCTGATCCTTTATTATTATAAATAAATAACAATATCGCACGAAAATGATAATATAATAATATTTAGTTCCACCGAAAAAAATCAATAGGATCATATGATGACATTTTGCATCCATCAACAGAAACAAAAGAGGAAAAAGGGTCCATGCATTGCAGATGCAGTGAAACCCCTCAAAAAACTGTTCTCATGAATTTTTCTTTCCAGAAAAAATGATTCTGATTATTTGTTAAAAACAGTTAAACATAATTTTTATAAAACAAATGATTACATTTTTTTTTGGTATTCGGTATCCTCTAAATCAAGATTCATACTAATCCCAGACTTAACGTTCAAATTCAGATGAACAAATGTTTTAGCGGTTGAACCATCCTGAGTTGATTACATTTATTTTGGCTAATACAAGGAAAATAAGCCTAAATTTTCTCGCTCTGGCGGAAAAAATAAAAAAAAGGATTCAGGGTCTCCAACTGAAATAATCTGCAACATGAACAAATCAGAGGTTATACCATTTTACAGTAATTGCTGAATTTCAGACAACAGTACATTAAAACATCCAAGAATGTTCTACACAATCATCCAAGAATCTCAGACACGAGTATACGTATATATATATATGTATGCATCAGTATAGATATGTATAAGAGACGTCAAACGATGCCACTGAAAACCCTGCATAGACCCTAACAATTCCAACTTTATGGTTCCTGTCAAATTCAGAAGCCAGAGAGCTTTTTGTAAAATCGTCGAGTTTCCCACAAAAGTTCATCGAGATTGCATCTGGGTTTTCTAAAAAATCTACGGACGAATCCAAATTGAACACGAGGATTCATTCCAACTGGATATCTGTATGAGATTAAACGGGAAAAAAAAAAGATTCCAACTTTAACACAGTGCTTTGAACTCCAATCAGATAACTGAAATGAAGACAAAGATTCCACCTTTCCTAAATAAGATAAGATCTAAGACTGACAAATGATGAGTACCCAATCCACATGTTTCCAGAAATAAGAACTGATGCCCATAGCTCCCTGAAACAAAAGAGAGATTAGAAATTCGAAGAAACAGAGAGGGAAAGCCAGAAGAAACTAAAAGGCCTTGATTTGGAGAAACCCAACACTGGATCAGACAACTTAGATTCGAGACATTCAAGGTCACGCCATGGTTGAAGAGGAGAAAGCTCCTTCATCATGGGCCCAAGACCAGAGATCTAAAACCAAAGCACGAAGAAGAAAGTAAAGGGTAAGGGCTGAAAAAGGAGAAGAAGAGAGAGAGAGCGAATTCTGCTGCTCAGATCTATGGCCGCACTGCTCCTTCACCTCGGCCTCCGATTCAGTTGATGCAAGGCGGGATCCGACACGCTCACAGACCAATCAGAAAACGCCACGAGGCCCTGTCTGCCGTATCGGTTCCCGACCTGCACCAAGCGAATCCGAGACCACCGGTAACTATATACTCTCTCTCGAAATGGAAACGGAGACAGAGGAGGGGAACAGAGAAGAACTTTGGTTCTAATGGCAAGTATGGCGAAGATAGCTTCTGATAAGCCCTACAAAACAGAGGTCGGTCAGGCGCTCCAACTCGTGACAGACCAATCTTGTCGAGACACGTGTCTGGGTTGAGTGAAATTACGGAAACGCCACCGATCTGACGTGGATAGACTGTGCTGTGATATGCTACTGCCACGTGGATTTGGCTCCACACGGTCAAAATTATCATTCCAGAAAACACAAAAATAAACAAAAAAAATGTCCTATACTGTCAATTTATATAACACCGTTTACCCAAAAAAAAATTTTATAGAACACCGAATAAAAAAATTAGAATATATATATAGACGGGAGGGGCAAAGAACTACAATCCGTATACACGTGACTTGGATCTCTGTCGGCCGGCCCTAATGGCACGGGACATGACTGAGCCACGCGGTGGATATACAACGAGCTGTTCTTGCCCACGTCGAAAGGCGGCGCCTTTAGGCAGCTATATGTCTTATTGTCTAAGGAATCTTCTTGGCTAATGTGTATAATACATGTTTTTTTAAGGAAAAAGAAAAGATTAACTTGAAAGTGTGACTTAGCTTAGATTATGGATGATCTTGGGGGGTTATAATACACGGATTATCAATAGCAAAGGCCTTTGATTAATTACAAAATAAAACGATACGTGGTGTGATAATTACCGCTAATCAGCGAGAGACAAGTGGATTCCAAAATACCGTCATGTTCAATGTATATTCCGTACAGTGCCACGGTGGCATATCCTCCACTTGCCACGTCCTTCTTTCCCAACCTTTTTTTTCCTCCTCCGAGTTGCGTTAACTGACTCAACCCGCGACGTTCCTCCTTGATCCGGAACCTCCGCCGCCATGACGCCATGCCGGACTTTAACCTCCAGGATCAACGCCTTGCCTTCTCCGTCTCGATTGCTCCTCCGTGGCACTCGCGATTTCGTCCCGATGGGGGAAACGCGACTCAAATCGACCTCCGGTGGCTTGGATTTCCCGGCGATTGCTAACTCGGCGGGGGATTCTAGGGTTCATGCGCCGCTTTCCTCGCGCGTGTCGTCTGCGGCGGTAACGTCGAAGTCTCCGAGCAGTGTGGAGGCTATTGAAGAGGTGATAGAGAAGGTAGGGTTTTGGTTTGTGCAGATTGGGGATTACTGATTTATCATCGATTTCACTGCTCAGAAACTTTGAACATCTGATTATAGGAATCTGGCGATCTTATTCGTAGTTGGGATTTCGATGAAATAGGGGGGAAATTGAGTGAAATTTCTGCGACTTCTGCTGTTGGAATTGCAGGTAATATACCGATGCAGGTTCATGGCGTTTCTAGGAACACTAGGATCCTTGGTCGGTTCGGTTATATGTTTCATCAAAGTAAGGCTCTTTAGACTCTCCTCCTTGCTGCATATACACTATAAATCCAGATACTTTCTCCATTGAAATACTACAAGAACATGCTTAGATCATCTTATTGATGTCAGTTGCATGGTTCTGTATATTACAGAAATTCTTCGTTATCAGAACTTTCCTGCCTCCGTCTTGAAGAATCTGTCCTTATCATGGAATAGCAGAGATTATGTACTAAGATGAATCCTTTGTCTGAATATGGTCTATGGATCTGTATCTGCAACTTACACTAGAAAACATGGCAGTATCTGTATAGGTCCCGTTTCATGTATACATTATGCATATCGATTATCCTTTCACGGGTCATCGTTGATTGGCAGGGATGCACTTACGTGGCGGAATCATTTGCCGAGTTTTTTGTGAACCGTGGGAAAATAATGATGCTTCTGGTCGAGGCAATAGGTCAGTCACATTACTTAGGCTCTGTTTGTGTGTATTTCTTGAAGAAAGAGTAATTTCATTTGTTACACAATTCCTGCAGATATTTACCTTTTAGGAACTGTGATGCTGGTATTTGGAATGGGGCTCTACGAGCTATTCATCAGCAACCTCGACACATCAAAGTTGCTTTCGGATGAACGAGCTCCCAACAGATCGAATCTCTTTGGGCTATTCACTCTAAAGGTCTGTCCTTTTCAAAAACTCTCGTTTTTCAAACAAATTTACGTGGTTGCAATGTTATATATCCGGGATAACAAATCGGTCAGAACAAAGGGTATGAGTACTGAGTAGTGCTTGAGTGTTTTTCGGGTTTCGGGTGATCTGCTAAACCTGCAAAGGCTGCTGATTTCAGGAGCGGCCGAGATGGTTAGATATAAAATCGGTGAGCGAGCTGAAGACGAAGCTTGGGCATGTGATAGTGATGCTGCTGTTGATAGGATGGTTCGACAAGAGCAAGAAGGCTGTCATAACCTCAGTCACGGATCTGCTCTGCTTCTCCGCTTCTATATTCCTTTCCTCCCTTTGCTTGTTCTTGCTCTCTAGGCTCAATGGCTCCGACTGAGTTCTCGAGTTCATATATGTGCATGTCAGTATGTATATGTATATGTATGTTTGATGTAATCAGATCGATGGTACAGCAAGGTGAGAATCGAAACCTTTTTACCGTCTTCCTCGTCAAGGTACAGATAGATTGGGTGGATGATGATGTATTATGTGTATCGTGTCTGCTTGAAATACATCGGAGAACAATCGGGTAAATTATCGCAAAAACGTCAGTTGACCAAACCATCCATTACATGATTCCCCGATATTAAAAGCCGCAATGATTGCGAGAATAATACCGAGTCCAGTCTCGTACGTTTTCGAGGAATGTAATATGAATATCTATCTACACATACACACATACCTACTCGTATGTACACGTATATGGTTACACAAAAGGCACGACCTTCAGGTTCACACGTGCATTAAGAAAACGGTCGTGAGAATGCATTCGCCCCAAAAAACTAATGGAATGTTGGATTGAAATAGGAGAGAACGAGCAACATTTAAAATGTGTTTATGTTTACGCTCAACCACAGAGTTTTGTTGCGAAGTATAAGGACACGAAAAGTAATGAAAAATGCCTTTCGACGAAAGAAAGTCGATGAAGGCAAGTTCAGGTGCGTTATCGGATCTTATGGCTTTGACTTTGGCCGAAAACTGATTTTCAATGAAAGCTATGAATTGTGGAAACTTAAAGGAGACATCACTCTTATTGCGAAGGAGATAAACCCACGTGACTCGTGTACAATCATCAACAATTGAAAAAAAAAAAATCGATGTCCATCCACCGTAGGTATATGGAACGGTCCCCAAATATCGAGATGTAACAAGGCAAATGGGCTATCAGACATGACCAAAATGTGGAAAAGAAAGAGACTTCTGCTTGGCAAGTGGACAGACTTTGCAATGCAGATTTTTATTTGACGAAATCTGAAGATGACGGGCGTTCGCTAGACCATGAATCTTGATGTCAGAAGAATGGTCAAGACGAAGATGTCATACGTCAAAATCGACCGAAGAGAGGGCAGTGCAAATAGATGAAGATGCGGAAAACAAAGACGAAGAAGTGAGTGATGGTTCTAGAAGATAGAGGTCATGACAACTTCTACCCGTGCCAATCGTCAATCTATATATATGTGTGTGTGTGTGTGTATGGGATTGTGGACAAAGCATGGCGGGATTAATTAATAAAGAAAAGAGGACAAGGCATGATTGTGTCACTACTCATGAGTTGCGATGGCTAAGGTTTAAGCAGACGGCGTCAATTTCCTAACGGTCAAATCAGGAATCCAATTAACACACAACAACTTGGGAAGGCTTTCTCTCTTTCTTTTTTATTTTTTTATTACAACTCAATATTCTTTTGTCCGAAATTGATTATTGCAATAATCCACGTTGACTTTTCTCCTTTTTTTGCCACAATAATCCAATTTGGTCACTAAAAAAGCCTCGGAAACTAGCGAATTTTCCATGTCACTGCTCCTCCCCAGCCGAAGGGTTGACGAAGAAGCTTTCTCTCAAGAATATATATACACAGACACATACAATGCAAGTGTCTGATGATTGTATTTGACAGTATAGGCACCGAGTCAAAGTTTTTTCATAGCTTCTATAAGATGAGTTCTGGCTCCACCACATAATATAACACCACACTATGTGGAAACAAAGAGTAATCTTCTTCCACTCCGTCGTGGTTTTCCTCGGCATCGCCTCCTTCGTTTCATGTTTCACCGCCGAGTTCAAGAAACCTAAGGTAAGGTTTTCAAATCCCCATGTCCGCGTTTTCGAATCTGTTTATTAGGGGTTTTATTTTTGTTTTTTTGTTTTGCGTGTTCGTTTTCGTAGAAGGAGGATATCAGATGGGACGGGGAAAGGAACTGTTTTATCCCCGAGACCGAGGCCTTCGGACTAGGAACCGCAGCTGTTCTCTGTCTCGGTCTTGCCCAGATCGTCGGAAACGTTGTCGTGTACATAGATCACCGGACAAGACACAACAAGACAGAGGATGGTCACAAGGCTTATAACCTCGCCCTAGTCCGAGTTCTACTGCTTTTGTCCTGGTACCCGAAATATATATATTCGAGTGTGTGTGTGTGTATATATACCCTATATATATTCAAAGGACCAATCTTTGTTCAACCTTCGATCGATGAATGGTGGTGTTAAGAACAAAGGGTGGATTTTTTTTTTTTTTTACCTGATGGCAGGTTGAGCTTCGTGGTGGTGGTTCTGATTCTGAGCACAGCGACGAGCATGAGCAGGAGACAGGCCTACGGACAGGGCTGGCTTGACCAGGAATGCTACCTGGTCAAAGACGGGATCTTCGTAGCGTCCGGCTGTCTCGTCCTGCTCGCCTTAGGTGCCTTGATCGTGGCAGCCACCATGATCAGAGAGAAGAAACTACTTGACCAAGTCAACGGAACACTGCCCACCAAGAACCAAGAACAAGAAGAAGATCAGATACCTCGGAAGATGTCAGAAACGGTCATATCCATCGTGGAAGAAGCTAATTCGACCACAGATATAAGTAGGATATAACTATACGAAGAACAAGCGAACATGACTGTTTTACAAAAAAAAAAAAAAAAAAAAACACAA